TTTTTTAAATAACCTCCCTCCTGAAACAGAAATTGTGTAGTCTGAACGTTTTGGAAGTGGAGCATTTGTGCACGTCAGAAACACCTCTGCAAATAATTAAGTAGGCTGTCGGCCGTGTTAATTCATCACTTTCAGTCGGTTTCCTTTTAAGTTCCTTAAAGTCACTCTTGAAAAAAACCAAACAAACCAAAACATCCTTTGTATTTCCCTTATTAAACCGAAAGGCGATAGCACACACATAGTCCCGGAAGCAAGAGGAACAACAACAGTCTAAGACACAACCTTGTGATAAAGGAAGAGGTTTTTTTTTTAGCATTTACCTTTTATCCCGGATCAGTGCTTCACAACTAGACTGCAGTGGGGAAACGCGTTCACCACCGCTTAGCCGTCGGTGCCACGGACCCACGCACCCGGCCGCCCAGGTCACAGGTGCGCCCAGGGCGGGGAGCGATGACGTTTCTCTCACCGGGCCCACGGCACAGCCTCGCCGTGACCTCTCCCCTCAGAGTATCTCCCCTGCCCTCACCGAGAGAGAAACCTCCTCCCCGTCGAGCAGGACTGGGAGATACAGAGTTTATTCTCCCCACCTCGCCCAGAGACCCCACCACCATCACACGCTTCCCCATAACAGCCCTTTAGAAAACAAGCAGTCAAGTTAAAGTGTGAACGACCGCAACCCGCGATTCACAGAAACAAAAGAGAGCGCTTAAAATAACAAATGCACAAGTTCCCCCCAGTGTCTCAGATTGTACATACAGCATTCAGAGTCTTGTTTCGCGAACCAAACGCGTGTTACTCAGCACTGTTACTTTACCGCGCCGTATGTATCCTTCGGTGCGATCAACACGGGGGAAAAAAAAAGTTGCTCCACTCCACGCCAGGAAGCAGTCTTGCTGCTCGGGGCCGGGGAGCAAACTTCCTCACTCCTGTTGAATTATTCATCGCGGTCCGGGGAGAGGCAGGGCAGCAGACGGGACTGCAGCCGCGAGACGCGATGCTGTCTGCTGCCCTGGTCAGGTCCTGGACTACCGGAGGCGCGTCTGCAGGACACGTCAATGCAGCCCCACTCGAGCACGGTGATGGGTGGACAGGCAGCCCGGGGGCACTTTTCGCTGCGATCTTGGCGTGGAGACTCCCCGCCGCAGACAAATGAGAGAGACAGCAGAGAGCCGAGACTTTGACGGATCTATAAGCGACGTCTGCTACGCCTCTCTCGCTTTCCAACCACATACTGTAACTACCCCTCCCTTCCCTTTAACGGAAACTCCTGTGTCCACAGCACAGGGCACCGTGTCCTCACACCGCGCAGGCAAAAAGTTGGCACCCGAGTGCGACGCGAGCGCCGCACGGCACGGCACGGCACGGCTCTGCAAATGCGCGCAGGGGTTTGTCATCACGAGCACAAAACATCCACCTACCGGCTCTGAATCCCGCGACTTGTTGCATATTTTCTCTGTCCGCAGGCGATTCTTAAAAACTCCAGTACCGCATATGGAGGGCGGAGGGGAGGGGACCGGGGCTGGCTGCTGTCTGCTTGCGTGTGTGTGTGTATCTCCAGCCGAAAGCAGGAGTCACCTTTGCGATGCCGCCCCGGGTACAACGGGGGAGTGACAGCCCAGAACACGCACGAGGGTCGGCTCCCCGCGGAGGGGACGAGCAGGAGTGGAACCCGTCTCCCCCGCGAGCAGCCCCCGGCACGCCTGGGCCAGCCTGCTCTCCCGGCTGGTGGCAGCGCTGACCCTCCCCGTGACGTCAGGAAACAGTAACCCTTTACTCTCCACAGGTGTGTTCGTGTCCTGGATCAATTCCCTTTTTTACCCTCCCTCCCCTCTCTCTCTGCCCCTCATATTGGTGCGGGCATGAACATACCCGCGGTGTAAAAACAGTTTCTTTGCTCTTGCCAACAGTCTCCCTGTCTCTTAACTGGCGTTATCGGGGTTCCTCAGGCCATGAAAGGTCCGGCTGTAGAATGGTTTTCTTTTTGCTTTTTTTAAGGGGTTATATTATGGTACTTCACCGGCCTTACCCGGAATGTGTGTGACGTGTTACTGTAATTGCCCGCCCCGGAGCAAGCAAGGTGCTCCTTAGCCTTTGCTACACAGTTTGCAAGCAAAATCGAGGAAAGTGCGAGTACTGGACTCGGACCACCTCGTGTGCCCCGTCTCCTGTATAACCCTGATCCGAGAATGGGTTTACAACAGCAAGGCATTGTGGAGAGAAAGTGTCACACACACACATATATATATATAACACACACTGAAAAGATTCCTGGATTCTCCTTCGCTTGTGCTGGAGGTGTCGCTTATAGCGGCCATGCGCACAGAATTGTGAAGACACTCGGCTGCTGTCCTTGTTACTGACCTCGATTGTTTTTAACACGAGGCAGGATGTGCCAGAGACTCATTCCTGAGCGCCAGATTCTCCACGAAGCGCGCCTGGCGGGTTTCCAGTGAAACAGGCGGAATACTCACAGCTGGGCTGAGAAACGCAGGAGGCCCGTCTGTCTCTGGGGGGACCAGCGACGCCCCCTAATGCTTTAGTGGGCACGGAATATTTTCTCTAGAAGGTGAAGTGTAGGTGATGAAATCTGCCCCTGCCCTCCTGCGACACGAAGGAGGGCCGGTAAGAGGAAGGCACAAGATGTTGTCGCTCGTAAGAAATCTTTTTTAAAGAGCGCCGTCTGGACCCAGGAGCCAAGAGAAGTGAACAAGTCAAGTGAGAACGTGTCTGTATGCTGGTTATGTCCCCAGTGGAAGTCTCTGGGTGCCTGGCAGGGCAGGGCTAAAGACATCGTGTAACATGGCAAGCTGTGGAAGATGTAGGCCCTGTGCATTTGAGATACATGCACTGCATGATTGCATTCCCTCCATGACTGCACTTTAAAGGCGTGTTCTCTTGCTGCTTAAGTAAGACCCAGTACATCCTGATGCCTTAAACTCATTCTTGATGAAAATAGAAACTGCCGTATCTCAAGAACGGACGTGTCGAGCGCCTTTCTGATGGACAGGATCCTAGGACAGGGGAATGCTGATTTACACTGCAGTCTGTTTGTTTTCGTTTCCCTCGTGAAGGTAAAAGCAGTTGACAACAGATGAAGCTTTGCGTATCGCGTGCTTCGGAGCCCTGCAAAGGAGATATTATCGGAGGCTAAATTCACCGCGAGTCGGCTGCCAGCAGTCTTTGGTGGCACAGGGCGCTCCAGCTGACACGGGTCCCGACTCCCAGTCCGATCCTGACCCTGGTGACGGCTGGACGACTGCAGCTCGAGGGACTGGCCGACGGACCTTGTCGCCCTGACCAGTGACATTGAACACGCTACTGGTTTGTACGGCTGGGGTTCTCTCTTTGGTCAAAAACGAAAGAAACATTACACACGAGCCAACTAGAGAAAATAAAAACGATCAGCCCTGTGAGGCAGAGCGAAGGGAGATTTGGAAGGTCACCTGGGGCTGATAGTGAAGTGTGCTGAAGTGAACTGCAGCCAAACAGTTTCCACCCTGTGCCAGAGTGGATCGGCAAAACCACTGTGACAAAAACAGCTTCTGTGCTTTTCCTCTGGTTTGTGCTAAAATCGCAGCAGACAAGAGGTGAACAGAGCCGAACAGCAGCCGTTACACCCGCAGACGCCCGTCTTCGCCTGTGGCCCAGCATGGTGTTCACCTCCTCCTGCGTCTGAGGGAAAGGCTGCCAGCGCCGGGGAGGTGCTGTCTGCGAGGCAAGAGAGGGGGCAACACAGGGGGGTACTGGAAATATCACAACCTGCCGAGCAGGCAGCAGGGAATCGCAGTGCTGTCGGGAGGTATCCGTTTTCTCCAGCCTTAGCAAGTTAAAAACGGGAGAGCTAACTGAGGGATTAGGAACGTGACCGCAGGTGGGCTAGCGGTATTCCTTTCTGAAAAGAGAGTATCGCAGAGGAAGGAAACTGGCCCAGAATATTTTCCTCCTGGGCTTGCATGTCCTTCATCAGCTGTGCCGCTGTGTGCATTGGTTTCTCCTTGATATGTTTTAACACGTTTAACCAGAAATTATTCGTCATGACAGCGATGGGGAGGGGGTTAACATACTGTGACTGCGGGTTGCGTCGCCTGTAAGATCTGAAAGAGGCCGTTTCCCATACCGAACCGGCATCTCCTGTGATCCACAGTTAGCTCTCACGTTTGGCTCAAAAGGAAGCATGACTCCAGCAAAAGAGGCGTCATCTTGGGATTAACAATCGTGCACTTCGGAGGTGCTGCATCGGCTCTTAACTGCTGATATTTGCAATGTGTCAGTTGTGCTATTAATCATGGTGCCTGAAATCTGAAAACGCAACATGCCTAATGTTTTTTTTTCCTCCCACTTCACAAAACAAACTCGCTTGCTTCTGATCAATTCTAACTGTTTATGTAGAGGCAATGGGTGTGTTATATCCAAGAAAGTCGATGATGTAAATTTCCTTCAGGTCAATTAAGAAGCCAGTGCTGCATGCAATTCGATGAACCTATCTTATTACAGGGCCCAGGGGGGATCTCCAGACCTCAAGGGCTAAAAGCATTGTGGTGGGCATGAGTCTCGCACAGTGTTTCTGCACACAGCGCTGCTGCAGGGGAAAATGAATGGTGAAAGACAAAAACTTTCATCTATTTGTGAATGGAGAAGCAAACATATCAGAAGCAGAGTTTAAAAAAGGGAGTACTCCAGTACCCAGTCACTCAGCTGCCCGATTACAGGAGGGTACTCTGCACTGCAAGTCTGCAATGATACATATACTGATATTATTTATAATGCACTGACGAGAAGAAGTACAATTGTTTGTGTTATTAGTTTAAGCAGATTGTGTTGGTCTATTATTGTGACATACAGTAGTTGAAGATCAGACCCCATGAGGAATTAATGCAGAAGTCCAGATAAATCCAACAGGTTCACAAACTTTTTCTTGCAACTGTATATTGTTCCAGGCTCTTTGGAATGGGGTTCAGACAGTCATGTTAGACCACAAAAAGAAGAAATCCAAGAACTGATTGGGGGAAAAAACAGATTTATTTTGACAGTGTCAACGTGACAATACTTACAGTGCAGTACTTTAACTTTTCTTCTGTAGTTTGTCAAAAAAGCAATCATAAAGTCCAAACATAATTGACTTCGTGTTACAAGGTTTACAATTCTCGTTTGTAAAGTAACACAGAGTGTACAAAAGAAGGCACTAAATAGTTAAACTATACAGTTGTATGCAGTCACACAGGAGCAGAGATGCCATCGTCTTTGTTTGGTCCAATATATTATTGTAAACATTTGACTAGCTGAACATATACACACTTCTATAGGTATATATAAAAAAAAGACCAGAATTTGTAATCACTCATTTTGTTTCTTAAACTTATTTTAATTAGACAATTGAAAAAAAATCTTGTTTTAAAATAATGTACCGTACATAAATCCATCCTTGGAGATCTGCCTATTCAGAAAACAAAAGGAGCACAAATGCTTTAAAGCATCTCAATGTGCAACAATAAATTAACGAAATCATTGCCATCTTGTTGAAATTAGCTAGAAATATTTTAAACAAATTGATTTTACTTTCAGCTATCTGTAAGACTTTATCCCCACATGTCTTCAATGTGTATAAAGTAATCTTATCTAAAGAGATGCAGCATTCCTAGCTAACAGCTAACTTCAAAAGCAATTAAATATTCTGAAAATATATTTAAACCTTTTGATGACTGCATTTCATACCCCTCTGTAGCAATAAATTGGAATTTTTCTGGACATAATATTTAAGTAAAAAAAAATATTTTCATTACAAATACATTCTTTTAATGTTTGCATTACAAAACTCCCCTGAAGTGGAAAAGTCTTTTCTGACAAAGCTAAAAATGGTAAAATACCATTCTGCTTCAGTATACAATCACTGCCATGCCGTCCCAAGGGACGAAACTGAAACGTTCTTGCCTTCTCGGCTGGCATTATGTGGGGTAAGATATTTATACTGCACTCTGAGACATACTTCACACTGCTGTGGGTTTATAATCATCAGGACCAGAACGGCAGGCAGACATTCATTCACACCAGAAATTATTTGCAATTAAAAACAAAAGACAACAAAATACACATCTCTCAAAATAATTTAGCATATGTTTATAGACGTATATGTGCAGTATATAAACTCCACATCCAGTTTTGAGATATTGAAAGGAACACAGCTAAAAAAATATATATCTCGGCTCTTGGAAATCTTTGAAAGCTTTTCTGCATTCTTCATTTGGTGAGCTACTGGATTCTCCAATCCGCACAGAAAGCCTGGATTGGGCCCGTTTCCTACTAATATAGTAGATCCATACCATATCAATAGGCCTCATTCCTGTTCAAATTACAAAGAGAAATAAACTGGAGGACTGTATTTTTCCTTTTAGTCAACAAAATATTTAATCTTTTATGACCTTAAAAAAACCCATTCCATATTCCATAAAAACCCATCCCATAAGAATTCCACAATCTACACAGAATTTCCTTTCTCTTCTTTGGTTTATATTGCACCTTTCATTGCATTCTGTGATATTTCCCCGATATCTGCTGATCATATGCACACCAGCCTCTCCAACATAAAACTCTTACAGGTGGAGAAAACATTTTTCCATTTGCTTTGTTGCATCAGTTCTACATCACTACTGCAGGACTCCTGAAATCATGGTGTCACCCCGGTTTTGTTCTGCAGCTCAAAATTCCTCTGTAGCATGATGAGGGAACTTCTCAGCTTGGGGCAGAATAAACGAAAAGCAGTTATCAGTTCAGTTTTGCTATAATCGGGAGCATAAAAGGACATGCAATCATAAATGCAATCTGTGTGATAAAAAGTGGCATTGGTACACAGTACAAACAGGCACTGGTAAAATGTCACAGTAATCTTTCTACTGCAGGCGTGCAGGGACAGATTACACAACAAAGCCATGTGTGACAATGACAGGGAATTCCCCAGTGAGAAAGAAAAAAAAGGTAAAAATTGCTTCTTGCTATCCAACAATCCGTTTATTAAAGTCTACAATCCGGGATAAGCACCCCGTGGTGACCTGACCACCAGAGCCCAGGAGCACTAGCTGAAGAGCTGGAAATAGAGTTGCTAATGAAAAGCACCCTTCCATTGTCACATCCAGACAGGACTGATTTCCCCCCAGCGCAGACAAGCCAATTTTCACTTCGTACACCTTTACTTTTCTCTGGAAGTACCATTAGGTTTCTCTGTGGGTGTGGGAAAGATTTTGCTTGTGAAATGCAAAGTACTCTTCCATCAAGGAGTAAGGAGATTGTGCCCAGCGCGTGTGTTTTACACTTAGCCTGTTCGCCTAACTGTTGAGTACAGTATCTTTAATGAAAACAGCTAGCACAGGTGGTCCTTTTCTTTTCGGGGGAATGGATGGATGTGAATGGAGAAAGTGGGATTAGCTATCTCACCTGTTCCAGGAGGTGTATGGAGTCCTGAAGCACAGTTCTCAACAACATTCGCTCCTCTTGGCTTTTCTGATGGGGAAACTGTCTAGAAGCCAAATCGGGGCTTAACCTGAAAGAAAAGATCAAAGTAGTGGTACAGGGAACGTCCTAACTAAGGTGGCAAGATGAAAACATTTAGGTCTATACAATTAATATACTGTAACAGTACTGGGCGCAATTAAAATCCTACCAAGCCCATTTAACTTGTCTACAAACATTGCAGTCTGTTCATTCTGTTGCAAAGACAGCCACTGGCTGACAAATCAGAACATAACCCCATATGCTTTTCAATGAGTATGGAGTATAACTGTCAGTCTCATCAGCATAGACACACTGGCCACGATATTGGCAATCAGCACTGACTAATGGTGACGAGACGTTCCATCAGTTCTCCTGGCTTTGAAACAGGATTGGAATTAGGCAACGTTGATAATAAGGCACTATGATCTCATCACAGACATATGGAGGACAGGGAGATCTATGTAACGCTGTCTCACTTTAAATTGGTTTTGTCCTTGAGTCGCATCTTAGTGCTGATGTGCATCCTGTGTGCTATATCTTCCATGGCCCACAGCTTGAAGAACAAACTCAGATTGAGCACAGTCAGAACCAGGAGTCTGTGTCGGGAGAGAGGGGAAAAAGATGCTTACTAGGGTACAAGCAGCTCAGATAAACAAGGTAACATTTGATTTAATGGAAATATAGATAACTTCCCAATTCAAATTGCATGCAAGCCCGCTCACTACATTACCAAATCATTACACACCGTCCTTTTTTAACACACCCGTGGCTTGCTCGAGTATCAGGATTCACGCTTTTAGATCTCTGAAGTACCAGAAAATTAAGAAGTTTAACAAACTAGAACATGGCGCCATTGAAACCCATCGTGTCATTCGTGTTAGTAGGACAGTCGTCTTCACTGCACTGCCTGTCAGCTGCCAGCAGAATAAGATGCTTTGAAGCACATTGTGCTAAAGCCTAAGTCAGACAGTCAAACGAGATTCTAACAGCTGACATGGAAAGCACATTGAGTACATTCCCAGTGCAGATTGCTTCACATATTGAAAAGATTGAGGACGATGATAAAACTTCTCTGTACCCTTCACAGGATGCTAAGAGCTGCACCCCTTCCTGAGATGTCTGGCCTGTAAAAATGAATCCCTGACTACACCTTTGCAAGAGATATATTGCTGGTTAAGGTTGGAGGGGCAAAGGTTTAGACACATTTAGAGCTCGTACAGGTCTTTTCACAACCAAAGCAGCAGTTCTCGTCCTGCTTACGCTTTTTTGTCCGAAGTGGGACGTGATTCATTGTTTAAGCCAGGTATTGTCAAACACTGTAACCACGGGAGATCTGGAGAAGAGCTAGACAGGCACAGCCATGCTCACAAGTCCACCAACGCCCACAGCACAAAGCATCGCTTCACCTCTTAATGGACGGCATGCTAAAATGAAGAGAACAGACTTGCACTGAGGAACAACTGAGAACTCTCAGGTTGAAAACAGCCCTTCGGGGGGAAAAAAAGAGACACACCAGAGCAGAACAATGAGTGACCCAGGAATGAAGCAAGGTTTCCTCTGTATCGTGAAAGACAAAGGTCTAAACATTAACAGGAATAAGGATTATTTTTTTGGGAATGACTTACATTAAACTCATAAAAGCTACAATGGTGGTGAGGCTCCATTTCTGTGTCCCCTTGAAATCAAGTACTGCTCCTGTGAAATTAACACGGAAACAAAGCTCAATCAAGCACCTACATGAGCTTCTCAAGCACAGATGCACAAGAGGAAGATGTTCGAAAAACTGAAAGCTTCTTTTGTAGACCCTGAACTGGAGCCTGTTACTCTTAGTCCTACATTTAGTATACGCTTCTACAACAACAGATCAAGAATACGATAACTGCATTCGCCTCGTTAATGTATTAAAACAGGTACTGTCCACTGCTCTTATTAGGCAACTTGGCAAATAATGAGAAATTAAACAAAACAAAAAAATACTTTACGCTGCAGGCTCAGTATACATATACTACATTCTTAAATTAGTGTTTGGGGCCGAGGGAGAAAATAACAGAATGCTACAGGACTTGCATTTACATTTTGTCAACAATTAACAGACTTCAATCATTTCTATTTCCTAAACCATTTCCTGCAAGGCCCCGGCTGGAGTTCCCAGCAAACACAAGCCCACAGAAGGCCACCGGACGTGAAGCAGCGGTCCGTCAGCCCCAGCCCCTCGCGCTCCCGCCTGCTGCTCTTCATCCACAGCGCGGGCACCGCGAGCCGAAACACGGGACCCTGCGCCCACGGCCGAGCGTCACCCCTCGAAACGCTTTCCGGAATGATTATTTCACGCTATCCGGAAACGTGCAAGCCCCCCCCCCCCCCCCGAACCGGACCGCATGCTGGGTCGCCCCCCCCGAGTCGGGGCGGTGCTTCCTGACCTGGCGGGCCGGCCCTGGATCCGGGTCCCAGGTCCCCCGCGGAGAGTGACTTGCCCGGCATGCCCAGGTGGTCCAGGTGGGAGCGGTTGCAGCCCCTCCTGCGGCGCCGCGCGGCGCTCAGCTTGCTGGGGTCCCCAGAGCCCTGATTCAGCTCCGCCTCCTCCTCCAGCAGCTCGGTCTCTGAGGGCGCAAGCCAGACGGATCAGTCCCCCCCAGCCCAGGTTCACACAGGCAAGGGGGCGCCCCTCCGCACGAGTATCGCCCACTCAGGCAAGAGGGCGCCGCTCCGCACGAGTATCGCCCGCTCGGGCAAGAGGGCGCCGCTCCGCACGAGTATCGCCCGCTCGGGCAAGGGGGCGCCCCTCCGCACGAGTATCGCCCGCTCGGGCAAGGGGGCGCCCCTCCGCACGAGTATCGCCCGCTCGGGCAAGGGGGCGCCCCTCCGCACGAGTAT